ATAGTCCCGTCGCCCCGGGTTGCGGCGAGCGGCCAGCGGTTTCGGATGGTTGGAAAGCGGATTTGGGTACTTGACTTATATATACACTCTACTGGGACAAGATAATGTTCTAATTACGTAAATGCCACGCATTTTATATTATGATGATTGCAACGATATTTAATATAAATTAGATCAGAGTTCTAATTTTGGGGAGGTTATTTTACAATTATGAATAAAGATAATGCAAACTAATTTCATAACTATGTAAAATTCATCTTATTATTATTAATATGATTTTTAAAATTATTTTGTTGTTTTATCCAAATATATTTTATTTAGAAACTTATTCACAAATCAATCTCCTTCTTTCATTTATTTTTGAAGTTCTAATTCAAATATCAAAATTGATGGAAACATTTCAACCCATATCTTTCATTTTTATTAAATTCTTAATAATTTGATTGAAATATGTGTAAATACATTAGTTCAATTATTTTAAAAAATTATCTTGTTGGTTAATTGTAATAATCAGTTATTTAAGTCAAATTTATATGAGAGGTCTGCCTAGGGAACAAAGCATTGAATGATGGGAAAGAGAGAGAGACACAAACAGAGTGCAATAGCACAATGATGATAATAAATTTGTGTAACTTTTATTCGTGATATGAACCTTTATTTATAGGAATGTGTTATCTAATAATTGCCCTGTATATAAATTAGGTTCATGGGGCACATAAATGTGATCCCGTGGTAGTTAAGCTGGGTGGTTGTTTAGGGTGGTCCTCAAGTTTGGGTGGCCTATTGGTCTGGGGGGCCCTCAAGCAAAACAGTTGAGAGGTAGGGTGGTCATTGATCCTGGAGGCTCTCAAGAAGGATGGCTAGAATGTAGGGTGGCGTTGATCCGTCCAAGCGTCTACTTATTAAATCTCCATATCAATCACCTTGAAACATGAGGAATCATTTCACTTTCTCAATCTATTCGAGTTTGAAGGCAACATACTCGTTCTAGCATTCTTTATTGGATAGATTCTTTAGAAGTGATCTATCACTTTTCGTCAAGGTCTTCCGTCTTCTTGATACATGGACCGGTCGGCCAAACATGCCGTTGTCTCATTCGCCATCCCTGATATGTCACTCTGATTCATGCTATATAATTTTGATGTACATCAATATTTAAAATAATCTGTATACAATTACCCTTTATTTTATCTTCTAAT